AAGCCCCCCGGCCGTGTGAGTGTGGGGTCCTAGCGAGGACCCCACAATCACATGGCCGGGTATAGCTGGCTTCTGTATTGCCAGCAGGGGGGCTGCCTGTAATTACAGGGGGTCCCCCTGCTGGCTGAAAATAAAAGTAAAATAAGTTAAAAGTGTAAAAAAATAAAATTATATATACTTAGATCATATATATATTATATATATATGATCAAAGTATATATATACACATATACATACACACATGTACACCGTCTAGGTGTATTTTACTATTAATATATATATAATTATATATATATATTAATATCAAATTACACGTAGACTGATACTGATTAAATATATATATAATTATTGTTATATATATATTTATATATATTATAAAAAAAATTAAAATGTAAATACGTTAAAAAATAAAATTACAAAAATAATTAAAGGGGGGCGTGTCCGGCAGCCGACGGAGATGGCCGCCTAACTCTGTAGCTCCTCGTGGCACCCGCAATCAAGCCCGCATTACCACCAGCCCAGCTCACCTGCACACACCATATGGGTCGTACAAGGAGGCTGGCAGACCCCGGCGGCACCCCAAGACCCGCGGGACACGGAGGGGATCAATCGATCCGTGCATTCCTCCACGCCGCCGGCCGCGATCAGTCCCCGCGGAGGGAAATGGAGGCCGCAAGCCTGCAGCCTGAATCCTTCCCGTCCACGCCGGCGGCATTCTCCCCGGCCCCATCGCCTACCCTGGACACACAGCAACCACAAGGGGGTGAGTGGAGAGACATCTTGCCAAACTTACTCACAAAGGCTGATTTTGAAGCCCTCTCTGACAGATTAGGCCGGGTGGTCCGTGAAGAGGTGGCCCAGCTGCGTGCAGATGTGGCAAATATAGAGGCTCGCATGGCAGTAGCGGAGACGGAAACAAGGGCACTCAGGACAGATCTGGAACTCACAAATGAGACGGTCACGAAACAAGACGCCGACCTAGCCTTCCTCACCACATGGGTTGACGATCTAGACAACCGCGGCCGCAGGATGAACCTGCGCGTCCGTGGAGTGCGGGAAGGAGGCCACTCAGAAAACGTACCGGAAATACTGCGGCTGATCTTTGCCCAAGTACTGGGAGGCCAACCTGCACCCAGAATAGGCCTAATCCGTGCACACAGAGCGCTGAGACCCATACCAACACGTGAGGAACAACCAAGAGACATAATATGCTGCCTGGAAAATTACCACCTAAAAGAAGAAATACTACGCACAGCCAGACGCATGGGGACGATCCGAATGGAAGGTCAGACCGTATCTATCTACCAAGACCTTTCACGCTACACCCTGATGGCCAGGAAGGCCCTGCGACCGGTGACGTCAGCGCTGCAACAAGCCAACATACCGTACCGCTGGGGATACCCGTTCTCCCTCACAGCCAGACACGGACAAGACCAACTAACAATCCGGAAGCCAGATGATGTCCAAAGCTTTTTACGTGCCCTAGGCCTCCCGCCGCAACAGGTGCCAGACTGGCTGGCAAGATCGTTCCTCCAACAACCACCGGGCCCGCAACAACGACAACCGCGCGGACACATCGCGGACCAGCAAAGGCCCAGACCCCAACATCAACGCGAAAGGCACCAGGGCCAAGCGCAGAGGGAGCAGTAACAGAACACAGCACCGCACAACCAAGGCAAGGACATGGGGACTCCATTGATGAGAACTAGCTAAATCGTGAGTACCATCACAGGGGACACCGTGCGAGAACCACACAAGCACGCAGAAATTGGGGTGGGAACAGGGGGATAAAGGGTCACAAAGACACTATACCTCAACTATAATATGTCGGGGGGGGGGAACACGCAAAGCATGACCAGAGTCATGCCCCTTACCGCAAACTCCATCGGGAGGGCACCAGGACATTTGGGGCGGGGAACAAGGGAAGGGGATAGGATGAGAACGACCACATGGGGAATGCAAGACACAAACGGACACAAAGACAATGCAACCACGCTGCACCGCCTGTAGAGGCGCATCTCCGAAGGCCTCCAGGGCCGTGCAAACCCACAGCGCAAAAAGGAACTTGGCAGGGGGAAGGGGGAGTTGGGGGCAGGGAGAGAAGCGGGAGGGTAGAGTAGCCGGAGGGGAGTTAAGGGGCCCCTGATCAATGAGGGAAAGACGGAAGCGCAAGAAACTAAAAAAAATAAAAAAAAATAACAAAAAAAGTGGGAGCAAAGATAAATAACGGAAAACGGGAGAATACAGGGTGGGAATACTAAAAGAAGGGGAGAGGGGACCGTATTAAAAGGTTAGGGGAGGGAGGGGGAGACGTGGCTATATACGGAGGC